ATACAACTCGTAATAACTCAACTGCGTTAAAAACATCAGGGAATAAATACAATTTAAAAAAAAAACACTGACGAAAAACAAAGAATTATTACTAAAAAATATATATTTAAATATATATATATATATAACTATCCTTTTTTTATTGTATACAATAGAAATTAGTTACATCACAATGTCAATATACAACACATGTCACAGCTAATATAACCCATACAAAATAGACACTGCATACCCATTAATAATTAAAGTCTCCCCACTTGTCAAGGAAAATTGACATTGTATGTCTTCTTTTTGAAATTTCTAACTCTATCTTTTGCGTGTAACGTATATCAGATTTTATGAGATCATGGATGTACATCCATGATGAGATTAAAGCATGGTCGTTTCTTTTTTAATTTACACGTATAGATATTTCTTTTAACAATTATAATTATATGGTTTAGTAGAGGGGAGAAGTCCTTGTCTCCTAATATTATCTGTTTTGCTGACAATGTTCTTGGACATCCTAGTTTTGTTCCCCATAGATTAAAAATTGATGTCCAGATGACTTTAATAGACTCGCATTCAACAAAAAGATGCACTAGGTTCTCGGTGGTACCATGACAAAATGAGCATAAATCTGACATGGTGAATTCTTATGGAATAACATTTCATTTGTGTACAGGATATTGTGGTTTAATTTCCACTGAAACTCCCGTAGTTTGCTGCATAGAGTTACCAAAAAAGGCATGGAATAATGAAATTCCCAATCCTTGTTATCCAGATTACACAAAGTTTTAAGAAAGAGTTGACTTGTGAGTGTTGTAAAAACATGGGAGGTGAACAGTTTACGTAATTGCTTTTGAGTGGTATTTTCAAGTATAATTATTTGTTCACCGGTGACTAGACCAATAGAAGGCTCTGGTCATACACAAATTGCACGGCTATTCCTCCAGTCTAATGGCAGTGCAGAGATAACGCCATACCACTGAAGTAGCTGAACATAATTGAGCCCTAGTGCTTGGAGATTAGCCCAATTTTTAATTTTCCCATTTGTGTCAAATATATCTGCATATCTAAAAAATACACTGTTTACACTGCGCGTTTGACATCGTTTCACCAGATTTTGTTATTTTTATCTAGTTTTGTGATTAACAACTATCAGAGATAACAGTGCATAACCACAAACAATAAAGCTACCAACAGGAGAAAACGAATTAAAAATGTATCTGTGATTCAGACATTCTCTTAAAGTTAAGCTACTCTAGACTAACCCGGGGCTCTAACCTATACATCATCCGAAAGCTTGGATACTGTAAAACCATTTATTTTCACTGACATTTAATTTCACTACTTTTACGTATTGAGCATATTCACTGTGTTTTAATTTTTTACGAATTTGTCAAGGAAACAATGAGTTTTATTGTTATTTTACATGTTCACATAGATTCAATTTAGCGGTTGTTACTAATCAGCGAAAATATCGAAATTAAAAAACAGTGAATGATCAATGCATTTACAGTACAGTGTAGCATGGAGCTAAAAAAAGCTCCATGAGTGTAGTGCCGTACCAATGTTTGACCATGGGATGACCCGACAGCCAAATAACCACAAACATGCTACCCTGGATGTCTGAATCTTTTTTTTCTCTCTCACCACCTCAAGACTGTCATAAAACCTGTCGTCATATCTCCTTGATCTTTATCATATGGGCCTTATATTTCATATCTCATAATTCAGGATATTATGATCACCGAAATACGTTTCGCACACAAAAAATGTGTCAAACACCAATGAAAATGTCGATTTATTTGTGTGTTTATCATTCTTCCTATTTCAAAGTGTTAGTTGAAAAATTAAAATGTGGACATCGTTTTCACTGCGGGATTGTAAATATACCATTTTTTTTTTTCGTATTTGTTTTTCTGTATGGCTTATACTTTTGTTATTTTCTTTCAGTGTTTCTTATTGTTATTGTTATTATTATTAGGTAAATAAATAAATAAATAAATATTATTATATAAAATTTACTTCAATGTTGTGTGTAATGTTAGTTATAATCTCCATACGCCCCACTGAAGGTATGCTATACAGCTGTAAACGAAATGAAAAATATGATTGGTTCTAAAAGCAAGAAACGCCATTTGACAACAAAGTGTTTTGCGATCTGTTTGCGAAACGTAGCTCAAGTCAGTGTGTAGATATCTTATCTGTCACAGCTGTAAATAAACAAACTTCTTTTGCATTGTATCAAACACAGTGTTAAATCTTGAAAAATGCCCTGCAAACGACAAAAAAATAAGTTGTGAATAAGATAGTCATACATTAGTTGTGTATTTAAAGCGCTGTGGTCGTCGCGCAGCGCGTGTTCGAATTTCATGTAAATAAACATTGTATTTTACACGCGTTGTATGTATACGTCGCTATGAGTCCCATATCGAACAGGACGCGGCGCGACGACTGCCGCCCTTTAGTATATTAACATCAGATACGAACACATGTCGAATATAATTTATAACAGGGCCGGATCGACGAGCCTGTTTTGGGCCAGAACGTCCAAACCAGGGCCTGATTATTCTTTATGAACTGAATACGGCTTTTGCGGCCTGATGTCGTTCGGCGTAAGCCGTACGATCGAGGGCAGCAAAAGCCGTATCCAGTCCATAAAGGGGTTATCATATACCTTATATGAAAAAAAATCTTTAGGTATGTTATTTTTCGCTCGTCTTGCCCAAAAGAAAACCTATTCGATTTAATCCGGGTTTCGATAGGGGCCGTTTTACTGGCGCGGATTTATACGACGCAAACGCGTCAACAACTCTCACACAATATAGACAAACGAATTTCACCAAATATATCCACAAATTACGTTTTAATGAAACAGCAAAAGAACGTAAATTTATGACAATATTTTAACAGTAGTCGGTAAATACGAACTCATTATAAACTTTGTTTCTTAAGAATGAACACTACAGTCCAGCTAAGTTGGTCATTTACTGATCGTCTGACAACGGACGATTTCTTGGAGCTGATGTTGTAGCCACAGGTACAAACACGTTGATTTCACAGTTGTTAAAAATTATAGTCGGTGAACAATTGCTTGACAAGAAGCAGTTTGGTTTACAGTTCCAGATTCTAGCGTAGCTCAACGAAGAATATCTGAAATGCGCCGATGTCGCTGGGTGTATCTAGCGACACCGATGCCAGCTGACTGTGACTATCGTAGTACTGTAAACTTGACACGTTTTGTGACCAGTTATCTTTATGATTGGTTGTGGTGGAATGTCGGGGTAATATAATGTATTTTATTTACCGGGACCGCAAGCGACCAGGGACGGGGGTGTGACGTTATTTTGTTGACACATAATTTGAAC